GTAGCTTGAATCAAGAGAAGATAGTCCAACAATATCCTGGGACCAACAGCCAAAGATTTTTGGTGCTTTCCCTCCTTATCACAGCCCTCGCAAGAGGAAAGCAACATGTCAGCTGGCAGCTCTGTGGTAACTCACAAGGGCCAGCGAAAGGAAGGCTTGTTCTGTGGTCAAAGGCAGCTGGCTGTGTGCTCTCTGTGCTTCTCTCGAAAGCAGTTGCAGAGTTTCTGCTTACGGCGCATTTCTAGACAAAACCACGTGGCATCTCCAGGTGCCGGGCTGTCTGGTAGGACAAGACTGGTGTCTTGTACTCCGATCGCTGCACTTCCCACATGTTGTGCTCGGCAGACGCGCTTGCTCGCTACAACCAGCAGATTTTGCCTTTGTCAGTGGGTTGGGCACAGAGATGTCTGTGCCCCCCGACCGGAATTGTCTCTTCTCAAGGAAAGGAGGCCCAGTTCTGTCAATGGCCTCTCTGCGTTTGATGTCAGGCAGTTTCTTTCTAATGGCCGTTACCTCCTTTTTCTATGCGATCCTGCTTCACCCATGTCACACGCATCTTCTTTCCTTGATTCCTGACACATAATGCAGCGACTGTCCCAAACGGGCACAGCTCTCGGGAGATTTCTTACTGGTTCTAGTGCTTAGTTACAACTGGGCCCAATAATGAGTGGCACAAACCATTGGTTCATCTAACTGCTATTACTCCAATGGTAAAAGAAAATACCATCCCCATCACATCTGTGTGAACTGGAGTCTAACTACAAAGCCTCAGATGCAATCAAACAAAAACAGGTTGGACCTCCTAGTCTGGCACCCTCGGGCTCCGACTGGTCCTGGATAAGGGATCTTTCTGGACCAAGGGAAGTCATTTCTGCACACACAGCCCTGCTACCCCCTTCCTCAGCCCTGCACTGGCCCTTCCCCCACTGAGTTTCCTGGCTCCCTCCCACAGCCGAGCTGGAGATATCCCCACGTGCTCCCCTTCCCCCTGATGGCACAGTGCTGGGCTCCTGGCACCTCCACCCCCTGCAGGGCACTGGGACTCTCTGATCCTGGGACATGAGTGGTCCTTCCCAGACCAGAGAGTTCCAGTTTATAGAGGTGCAACCTGTGAGCCGGTGAGAAAATGAGACAGTGATTTCACACACACAGAAACTAAACTCTCTGGGCACATTCCCTATCACCATCCTGGTCAGGTGGTCAGTAATATGTCCGTAGCTGTATTCTTACTATTAGAGCATGGAATTATTATCTGTGGTTTAGTTTGGCTCATTTAAGATTTTTACTTCATTTGCTTGTCTGCTTTCTTTCACATATAAGGGTTGGGTTCCCCCACCAACATGACCTGGTCTGTCCTGATATACTTTGTACCCTGGTATGACTGTGTCCTCAATTCACCAAGATTCTGGGATGCCTATTACCTCAGTATCCGTGTTTAATAGGAGGCTCTCCATCTTATTATTTTGATTTCTAGCACTTGTACATAAGCACTTTCAAACCTTGTCACTTTTTGGCTGGCTGCCATTGCTTGCTGTAATTTGAATGGGGCTCTTTTTCAGGCAGCAGATTTCAAACAAACCAAAGGAAATAGTTCACACAATGCAGTCACCCTGTGGAACTTATTGCTAGGGGATGTTGTACGTAAGCGAAACAGTGACTAGGTGATAAGTTTCGGGGGGAGGGGGGGGGAACTGTGTGAGTCTGTTTCAGCAAATACGAGGAAGCCTGTGGCTCCTTAAAACCTCACACATTTGCTCGCCCATAAGCTTTTGTGGGCTAGAGCCCACTTTTTCCTGTTTACGCCCAAATCAGCATGTGAGTCTTGATGGTGCCTCCAGACCGTTCAGTGAATTTACCCCATGGCAGAGGGTAAAGGCCTACGTCCATTTAACAGGTCGTACATAACCAATATCTTTGGGGGCCCAGGGGTTATTGTGATTTACCTTTGATAACCTTTGGGGGGAAAGCGCCAAGGAAGCCTCTTGGTGTGCGAAAGACCTGGGGGACAGGACAGTGGAAGCACGAACAGGGCAAACCAGAGCAGTTGCTGGCCAGCGATAAGCTTGGTAGCTTGGGTGTTGCTAATAGGCAGGGAAGCTGCAGTGGGGATTTGCTGTGTGACAGTCCGAGGAGGGGTGCAGACAAACACAGGCTGTGGCCAGAGACGTGCCTTGCTGCACCCTTTAGCTTGAACAAAAGACAGGATTATGCAGCACTTTAAAGACTAACCAGATGGTTTATTAGTTGATGAGCTTTCGTGGGCCAGACCCACTTCCTCAGATCAAGTTGTGGAAGAAAATTGGCACGACCATATATACCAAAGGGATACAATCAAAAAAATGAACACATATAAAACTGACAAATCAGATTTTAGACCAGAGGGAGGTAAGGGGGGAGATTAGTGTCTATGAGATAATGATATTAGGGGTGATAATTGGGGAAGCTATCTTTGTAATATAGTGATAGAAATGTAGCCGTGTTAGTCCGGTGTAGCTGAAACAATACAGGACTATGTAGCACTTTAAAGACTAACAAGATGGTTTATTAGATGATGAGCTTTCGTGGGCCAGACCCACTTCCTCAGATCAAATAGTGGAAGAAAATAGTCACAACCATATATACCAAAGGATACAATTTTAAAAAA